ACAACGGCACCTTTCATGTAGATTACCCTGTGCTCTTTTAGCGGCCATTGTGGGAAACTGGGCACAAAGCATGTTTTCCATGTATGGTCATTACACTCCTCAAATGAGCATCTCATTTTCTTAGCATGTTAAGACATCTCTCTTTGACAATGGCACCTTCGATGTAAATGCTCCAGCGCTCTTTCAGCGGCAGTTATGGGAAGCACACACCAGGCATGGTTTCCCTCTATGGTCATTACACTCCGAGGAGTGGGGCCATTGGTAATGGACGTTTGAGCCTTTTATGTCATGAAATAGGAACTTTAAACGAGGAACTAATGAACTTTCGCTGTCATACAGTAGGACACTTAATGGATAGACATTTGAACCTCAGCAGCCATACAGTAGCCTCAGTTTGACAGATTTCTGAACCAAGTTATACGACTTCTGTGAAATTACCTCTTCTGACTTTGCTGTCCTTTCTGTTTCAACTGTTGCCTTCTGTCACTGAAAGGTGGTAAAAAAGCTTAAACAGCAAACAAAGGCTAGACACTGCACTGGAATATATCTCATCTGGCATGGCCTCTATCAGCTGTTGGCCTACTGTCTGCCGAAAGCTTCTCACACAGTTTACATTCTGCAACTCCAGTGATGGTTTCCAGAGGCCTCAGGAAAAAATTTATTCATTAATCGAACGATGCAGCTGGAAATGAACCCACAATCTCCAGACTGAACGGCAAATTGTTTAAACACTTCACTATGGAGAGTTGCCACTGAAAGAGTTAATGGTGATGTGTGTTTTTTTTCCCTTCAATCATCTCTGGTCTTATGTCTAATCCAATGTGGGCCATGATTTGGGATGTTAGCTTCAGGTCTCTGAGATTTTCTTTAACCCTGGTTGTCAGGTCTGTTGGATGTGGTCAAATGTTTCACAGCTCCTTGAGGAGAGGATGGTCTTGCAAGACATGTTCTGGGGTAAGTTCGGCACGAAGATGCTCACAGAGATCTGTTTTTGATAAGTCTTCTTCGCTTACTCTTTTACCGTTTCAGGTGTTGGGGAAGGCATAATGTTGTAGAGATTCTGACATGTCAACTTGCATTTGGTTTACCTTGTGTCCCTCTCCTTTTTTGTGTATGCCATGTGTTTTGGGCAAGTACTGATTTTTTTAAATTTTAATGTTTGGTAAGTCAAGAATGTATGGTAATGGTATTTAATAACTACTGATTGTACAAGAATGTAATTCAAGACATATCTAAACACAATACAAACTATGACCAAGAACAACAACACAGGAAAAGGATAAGACACATACCAAATGCAACTGAATGTTTAGACAGTAATCATAGTATTTATTTATTTCTTGACCTCTTCACAAATGCAAACATGTGACTTGAACATTACTGGTAATGTAACTGATAACTACTGATTCTACTGTATTCAAATATCAAAACTGTCCAGTATCTGATCTTAGCTCAGCACAACATTAGACATTTATTTACACACAACATGCTGGCAATCTCGAACCTCCTTTTACAACAGTTTAAAGATGGCAAATGCAATGGTACAAACATGTTTAATGTAAAAACAACAAAAAACAATACATAACTGATCTCTCAAAAACAATACTACAGGGCTCTGTAGAGCAGAAGAGGCCCACCAAGAAAGACTGGATACAGAACTTGACTGACTGGACAGGCCTCAGGCATGCAACCACGAAGTCAACTGCATCTGACCATCAAAGGTGAAGGGAGCTGACCAGAGAGTCAACATCAGTTGGTGACTCGACGACACGTGGTGTTATGGGACAATTTTGATGGTGATGATGATGAGATTAATATGACAATATCAAATACTGTGTTTTGACTGGTAGAGATGACATTATTTCAAAACTGCAACAGGGATATTATCTCCATCTTCTCATAAAGCAACGTTGATCAATTTGACTGAAAGAGAAATATATCTATATGGCGTCAAATCAATCTCTTTATAAAAATCTACATGTTTATAATCTAATTCAAGAGATTATATTCAAACACAAAAACTGTGCAACATATATGGTTGAAACCATCTCATCTCTACCCACAAACTAAATATGTATATTTCACTGAAACATTATATTTGTAAGGTTGCAATCATTCTCACACAATCTAACTGGTTTATATTTCAATGAAACATACTGGTATGACTGCAGTTATTTCAAACATCATCTGGCCACCCTGGGAACGCACGTCGTTTGTGAATGTTCTCCCGTGACTGCTCAATAATTATGGACCAAGACATCTCCCCTAGCAACGACCTCAACCCTGGGGACCAGTTCCTCAGTATCTCTCCAGCTGTAGAACTGTTCAACAGGACACCCCCTTTGATGACTCTACACCATCTCCTGGACACAGGAGGCAGAGTCCGTTGCCCCCTGTAATGATTACATCTTAACCGTATAAAAATGTTATATGATTATAATTTCACCAAAAGATATATTTAAATATAAAAACTGCAGTTATCAATTAATTAATATTTCTTTCTCTCTCTCTCTCTCTCTCTCTCAATACATCATGTATATAAATGACATATATTAAAATATCAAAACTGCCCAACATGTTATGCCAAACTTAATTTTATCATTCCCTCACAACCTCACAAGTTTATGATCCGCCACAAAGAGCACAATGAAAAATTTATAATAATTTTTAAAAGCTGTGTCATATACATAAATGCATTATTTACTCCTTTCATTTCTTTTCTAGTTAAGTTCTGAATGAAGAAATTATGAAGAAATATCAAAACTGCAGTTTTTCTTATTCTATTTTTACCTCACAACAATCTTAAATATGTGGGGAGTTTTTAATAGTAGAAAAATTGAACAAACCATCAACCTTATGTATTCACACAATCTTGCAACACCTGGCTATTCCAACAAAGATTAAAGACAATTTAAAAATGCTATCTTTATTCCAACGTTAGGCTATCGGTTTCAGACCTGGAAATTAATTAAAGACAAGAAAACTAACCACACTTTGAAATGGGATGTGTGAGAAAGGCTGTAAAACTCCAAAAAGATTGTAAAAGAAATGAAGAGATAACTACTTGAAACTGACCAATCATTAAAAATTACTGAGAAGCTAAGATAGAAATGGTTTTGGCACCCAGTGAGAACGGACCCCACAATGTCAGCAGCAGGACTGTACAACATGAAAATGGAAACATCAAGAGAGAGATCTGGAAGAAGATGGATCGAAGAAAGTCACTGTCAGCTGAAGACTTCACAAGATTACAGCAACCAACTGTCATAGCTACGTACTATCCGTTAACTGCGATGCCTAGAGGCACAACACAGATACTGACAAAATTCAGAAGAAAAAGCATTAAAATTTAAAAAATCTGACAACACATTCAATTCACTGTCCTATTGTGAGATTGTATGTCACGCTGGGTCCAGAGTCAATTCCTTCCTTCGTTCTATTCTGTGCAATCACTTAACATCATGGATGGAGTCCAGGCCAGCAGCTTTGGCTTCTTTCATTACCGTTTGTTTTGGCGTTTCTCTTGGACGTACTTGTGTCCTTAATCTCTTATTTCAGTGCCTTTTTAGTGATTATCTATTTTCGGAATGTATCTAATACAGTGCCATACATATTGCCAACATATCAGGTCACATTTACACCACACACTGATGATTAGCAATGCTGGTAAACAAACTTAGTTTATATGAGAGGTAACAGTGTTCTTCAATCTACTACTGGGATGGGACATACAACCCTGTGTGGGCTCCACGGCTCCATTTTAAAATAAAACAGACCCAATATTTCTTTAACAAGCATGTCATTGGGAAAAAAAAAAGATATGTTGACCAAAAGCTGCGGACATCACAGCCTAGATGTAAACCCCAATACAACACAAACTGCCCTTTCAAGGGTGAACACAGAAGAAATGTAAAATGTACATATAATCCCAGCAACGAAGCGGTTAGAACGCTCGCCTGTTGGCCAGGTAATCATTTATTAAAAACTTCAAACCATCCAGATGACTTTCAAAACTTTGCTTATGCTTCCAGACCAACCTAATCTAAAATGAGCACCAGATGTAAAGAGTTGAGATGGCCGACGTGATACAGACCACATCATACAGCAAGTGCTAACGGGCATACGGCTAGAAACATACATTAAATATTTTTCTAAATAATCATTATCTACAGTTATTTTATTGGTACACTGAAACTAAAAATCCCTTTCAAAGGTACATACAGTAAAACCTTGTCAAGATGAACTTATTTAAGATAAAATTTGGTTATAAAAAATTTTCTCATTATTATTCATAATATATCTTTTTATATTCGGCAGGCATAAATTGTAAACAGATTCTTGACTTTTTGGTCCCTTAGAATTTATGTTAACGTGGGTTTAAGATAGTACTGGACCCCATCATTTGAACTGATCAATAGACTTGCACTCAATTGGGGATGTAGTCAACATAACACCAGGTGGCAGTATTTATCAAATAAACGACAGGATCGGAGTGTTGAGGAACTTCCCAGGACTTTTCTTGGTACCCATCCTTGACTGGAGGGACCTGGGAGTCAAGAATCTTTTTTAATCCACCCTAAAGCAAATCTGAACCCCTGACCTTCAGGCCAAACATGCGAGTGTCTAAGAGCTGAGCTGCTGCAGCTTGAGGCTTCCAATGTGTTCAACAGTCAAAATAAGAAACAAATGTGACAGAATATCATTATCTGTTATGCGTTTTTCAATGTAAACGTTTACAAATCTTACTAAACATTCATATCTAAGAGATTAAAAAAAACTTTACTATATGCACTAATGCACTGCGTTCTCTGGTAACTTTTACTGTGAAGTCTGATACGATCACATGCTAAACATGTTACAGAAAAGCTCGGTTGGACAAACTGGCGAACCATACAAAAAGTAATATCAGATTTCTGACAGGCTCAAAAGTCCAGACAATTTTCAGGTAAAACGAAAAAAAACAAAAAAAACATTGAGATCATTATGGAAAGATTTCCTTCTTACTGCTCATCGGCAGTCTTTGCAGACAATGTTCGGCGTAAAACCGTTTCCTCCTGGACCTCATTAGCAAAACTAACATTCTTGCTAACACTTCCTCTTGTCTCAAAACTTGCTCTTCGCTCTTTGTCTGTTGTTTGTTCATTCTGATAGTTCCCAGGCTGGCCATTTGTGGAGAGTTGATCGGAAGTTGTGGGTTGTGCTTTGTCTAGGCTCTTCTGTTGCTTTTTGAAGAACGTGAAGTACACAAACCCAATAAGAGTTAGGATGTGGAAATAAAAGTAGAGAGATCTGAAAATATAAAATGTTAAAGGTTAACGTTGTGAAGATCAATTTCTAGCAAATGCACAAGCTTCGTCTAAGTAGTTAACCATTGTGCCCATGTGGGCTCTGTGCGCAAACTGCAGAATATATCCTGCAAGACTGTATATGTAAGCAAGACAATGAAATTCTTCTTCTTGTGTTTTGTCTAGAGCAAACAGTGGTGAATACAACACTCCAATCCTGTTGTTTATTTGATAAATACTGCTGCCTCCTCTATCTTATAATAGCTGACACTATCAGTAGTCCATATATTTCTTTCATTTCCTCACCTCCTCGGGTGGTTCCGGGGCCCTATTACAGGGAAAACAAGAATAGACCCACTGCCTACCCAAAGGCATGTCGTAAGAGTCGACTAATTGGGAGCTTCCTTCGAAGTCGGAATGCATCTGCCTGAAAAGCAAGGAACCAACAGTCTGCATACAAATTAGTCAGATCTGTCAAACAGATGCACACGCAACACTCAAATTCTGGAAAAATAGGACTGCAGTCCAGAAGTGGCCGAACAACCAGAACTTTCCGCCGGAGTTTACAGCCGGTGAACGTTAAGAAGAAGATTTCCTCCCCATCTTTTGATTCACCCAATCTAATGTTCATCAATTTCCTCAGATTGTTTTTTTTTTTTGGTCAAACCACTTGACGCTGTCCTTCCATAACTTAACTTTTCCCCTATAGTGTGGTCTTTATAACAATATCTGTCACTTCAAATTTTATCAGTTGAACAAATGGCTGGTCGTCCCCTCAAATCTATCCATGTAACATTTGAATACCCTTTGGGTTGTATTTTTGTAAAGATGTTCAGCTGTGTTTAGAATCGACATCACAACACTCGGGACATTTCCATAAGCACTCTGAACCCATTTTCAGCAGCCAACTAAATGTTGCTGAAATACGAGGTGGTTTCAAATGAAAACAATAAATGTGTCAAAGAAATTACAACCACCAAGCAACAATGTATTGTAACCTTGTCAATACTGTTGTTAAGGATTTCAAGAGTATTAAGCATGTGATGTTATGGTGCAGATGAGCAAAGTGACATCATAATGACAGTTTAAAGATGATCATTCTATATCTGATATGCACCAAACAGAAGCAGCATTCGGTTAACCTTCTTCTTAATCAAATGAAGTGGTGAAACCTACATAAATTTATCAGTGAAGGAAGTTTCAATATGGTGATGTATGCCTGTTAGTCCAGCAAGTGTGTGAGCGGAGTAGGAGGTTTCAAAATAACTCTGGGGTCATTACCTGATGAGGCTCACCCGGCTGTGAACAGTCTGTCACAGAAGTCATACTGTTTTGAAAATTCTGACTTATCATTTGCTTATGTCACTAGTTTTCATCTAAAGCTCCCTCACATTTCACCTGTCTTTTATATCTTTCAACAGTCAACACAAAGCTAAAATCAGTGGTAAGAAAAAATTCTTTAAAAAAAAAAAGGAGTACATACTTGTACATTTCAATGCAGGCGTAAAACTCCAACACCAGAAATGGAAGCGTGAGGTAACTGTTGGCCAGACGAGTTGCGATGAATGTGATGACCTCATAGGTGTACACCAGAGGTCGGGATGTTTGGAAGAAAGGTCGTATGTGGCGCCTTACCTGTAATTTTTTTTTTTAAATGTTACTCAACAGTCATATGCGATTTAACAAAAGAGAGCAACTGGCTATAAAACAACAAATTTAACCCGACTGATCGTTTAAAAAAACAGCTTATGTAGGAGGTAGCAGTTCCCTTGCTCTGTAGGTGTGAGTTTCCAGATCATTCCACTGTTTCTCCCTATGTGGGTTAAGTGCCCCATAGTGGGGGAAAACAAGGATTGACCCACTGCCTTCCCAACATGCATGCCTTAGGAGTCGACTAAATGGGGCATTCTTCAAAGTCAATACTTCTGCCTGACAGTCAAGGAACCAAGAGTCTGCATACAAACAAGCCAGATCTGTGAAACAGATGTGCATTCAACACTCAGGTTTTGGAATAAGACTAAAGTCTGGAAGTGGTCGAAGAACTGGAACTTTCTGCAAGAATTTACAGCCTGTGAAGGCAAAGAAGATCTAGTTGTTTGTCTTATACTATCCTCTGCTGCGGGTTCTGGAGCCCCACCAATATCCCCCTCCCCCAACCAAACATGCTGGAAAAATTTAAAAGCTGAATATTTACTGGGCTTCTGAGATCAGATGTGTTGGGTGAAAAAATGCAGCTATTGCAGCCTAGCTGTAAACCACACCATAATAAGCCAAACAACCTTTCTAAGGTTGAATGCAAAAGAAGCCTTGTAATGCTATTTATTTCAAAGTCTTCACTGATAAAATTCAGCTCTTCTAGAACCCTCCAGCATCAAGTGAAGTACAAACAGCAAGACCGTCCATCTCCATGCCTCATATATGACTCAAAACTTCATATATGTGAGTTCCCAGAAACTCTGTTATTCCCTCTTTCCATAATTTGCATGACTGGCCCCTTTTTCGATTCCTCCTTGGTCTATACATCACTGCTCACTGAAGTATACGCTCCAAACTGCCTACAGTTTTATCTTATCCTTGAGTTACAGCCCCTGGCATTCCCCGGGATATTTATTTTCCCTTTCCCACATGTCTCGCCAGTCTATTGGCTAGACATCAACCTGGCTGCTTCGAGATATGAAGATAAGTGATTTTGTGTATTTTTTTAGTATTGTCTAATTTATGTATGTGGTGATGAAGGCTCCACAGCTGCAACATTCACGTTTTGATTGTGCTTTTTATATTGTGAAGCTCGTTGATATACTTTTTGTTCTGTTTTATATCTTTCCTTGAAGTATAGGCTGAACCATTCAACCTGTTTTGAAAGGATTTATAGTGCTGTAACCATTCCCATTTTCTTTCTGATTTAACCATTTCCAGTTTACACTACCCATAATATGTTGAGCGCTCTTATCAAGAACTTCATTTTGATTTTAATTTGTCTTTAAACTTCATTATTTGGGTCCTGCATTGATAGCACAGAAACCTTTCTTCACACCTTCAGGCCTTCTCCACACCTTCAGGCCTTCTACACACTTTCAGGCCTTCTACACACCTTAAGGCCCTCTCCACACCTTCAGGCCTTCACACTTTCAGGACTTCTCCAAACCTTCAGGGCTTCTTCACACCTCCTCCACTTTCAGGCCTTTTTCACACCTTCAGTCCTTCTCCACACCTTCATACCCTAACCTACTGGACATACAGGGCTAGACTTCGCAGGTCAGCATCACGCCGGTTGTCTTTACTTCCCTTTAAGGTTGGGTAGACCTGGAAGCCAAGTTCATTTTTGAAAAAAAAAAAGTCTGGCTCCAGCAAGACCTGAACCCATGACCTTCCGATCCGCAGGTGAGCGTCTAGCCACTACACCCTGGCAGCTCCCATTAGCAGCATAGAGTAGGTTAAACAAAAATATTCATGTTCAATGAAGGTGCCCGCACGCAACGGGGACACCCATGTGCAACAAAGATATAGTGCAATGAAAGCAATTCATGTGAGCTGTGAAGCTGCTTATGTGGACAGAACTGACTGACATCTGGAGAAAAAAGTGTCTGAGCATATTCCTGTATGGGTGGAAAAAGCCATACAAAGTAAAAAATCAAGATGTAAAAAGCAACAAGGACAATAATTTAACAATACATGACCCAGGTGACCGGTTGGAAAGACCTTCCCTCTTGTATTGGGCCCCAACTTTTGACCTCGAGACATGCTGTAAACAAGGCCAATGCATTTCAAAATTCTTCATACATTGTCAGATGGCAGAGGGCTAAGATTTCTTGAATCTGCTACTATTCATTACCTCCATCCACAACTTTGTAAACAGAAAGACATGGTTGAGATAATGCAACAGGCAGTTGCTTTTGAGAGTGTTTGAAGTTGTACTTCAGTTATAAAGGATTCACTTATTTGCTTCACTGATGTAATTGTTACTGTAGTATGCAATTGACGAAATACAGTGAAATATACCAGGTAATAAATTGTGCAGTCTATTGTTTGCGTCTTCTTTGATCAAAATCCAAGATATCAATTTTAACAAATTACCTGCCGAGCAACAATCGTCATTAAGGCACCACTTCCAAACATGAGGTAGTAGCCAGGATAGAAACCGTGCCAGAAAGCACTGCATGCGAACACAGCCAGCGTGTTGTAGCAAGGAGCACGGTCATACACCACACGTCGCAGCCAGACCAGCGTCTTTTTGTTCCAGCTGTCAATATTCACCTTCAGACTAGTTGATAGCTGAAAACAGGAGAAAGGTAATTCTGGATTGTCATTCACAATTACGGTCATGATTTTAGTTTATAATGATGGTATTTAGTATTGGTTTTAGTTCACAATGATGGTAATTAGTATTGGTTTTAGTTCACAATGATGGTAATTAGTATTGGTTTTAGTTCACCATGATGGTAATTGGTATTGGTTTTAGTTCACAATGATGGTAATTAGTATTGGTTTTAGATGGTAATTGGTATTGGTTTTAGTTCACAATGATGGTAACTAGTATTGGTTTTAGTTCACCATGATGGTAATTGGTATTGGTTTTAGTTCACAATGATGGTGATTAGTATTGGTTTTAGTTCACAATGATGGTAACTAGTATTGGTTTTAGTTCACAATGATGGTAACTGGTATTGGTTTTAGTTCACAATGATGGTAACTGGTTTTGGTTTTAGTTCACAATTATGGTAATTTTTATTGTTTTTTAGCTCACAACTATGGTAACTTGTATTGGATTATAATAATTGGTATTGGTTTTAGTTTACATGTGGCTCTGTGACTAAGCAGTTAGTGGATGTGTGTGACAATTCCATGATCCTTGAGTACTAGTGTTAGATTCCAAGGGCACAGTTGTTTTTTTTAACTGTCTTCTTATGGTTCTCAGACGATGGTATGAGAGTCACAAAGTGGAAGAGTCAGGGGCATCACCATGTAAATATTCCCAAAGACAACAGTGGCTCCCGTTAGCCAGTCTTCATAAAAGAGACTGCACAAAATTTATTAATTTTTTTAGCAACAAATGTGCTATTAAGATTACTTAAGTTAACTATTCTATTTAGTCTTTGCTTCAACTAACAATTAAACAAGGCAGTCTTGATCTCAATTCACAATTACACTGTTTAGCATTAGTTCTATTTCTTATTTTCCATTTCTATAAATACCAATCAATACACAATTATTTTTATTTTGCTCTCTTAATTGTCTAATGTGCTGACATGACTAAGGGGTTACATGTTTACATTTAGAAGATATTTCTCAGTAACCACCTATTCATGATTTGTGTATGCCTTTTCAAGAACATCTCCTAGTCAGACATTCAGTCTAAGCTGCAGCCATCAAATGACTTATGGTAAAACAGAGTTACGCTGCACTGATTTGTGATATCTAATCTACACAATCATTTATTCGCATTTGTTTTCTCCGGCCTTTTACTGTCCCATAAGACTTCACCTTCACTGTCTGGTTTATCTTCTGTAAAAAGCCCTTCCTTCTTCTTCTTCGCATTCCCTTGCTGTAAACTCCAGCAGAAAATTCTGGGTGTTGTTCGTCCCCATCAGGACTTTGGTCTGGTTCCAGAATCTTATGAATTAATCAAGTAACAGAAAGTACTGTGAACAGCACTCATAGAAAGAAGTAGAAAGATAGAAGAACACACTAGATAACATAATCGAAAGCTATAGTTACCGTGCCAGGAATTGAACCTGTCACCTCCAGACGGCGTCTGCGCCTCGCCATGAATACAAGTGCACTAAGATACATGGTCAACTCGGCACCCCCAAAAAAAGGTGTCTCATTGGCCTAGTGTTGTGTGCACATTTGCTGCACAGATCTGGCTTATGTGTATGCAGACTATTGGTTCCTTGACTTTCAGGCAGATGTACCCCGACTTGGAAGGAAGCCCCTAATTAGCTGACTCCTACTACATGCTTTGAGGAGAGACAGTGGGCCCATTCTTGTTTTCCCCATAATGGGGCCTCAGAACCCACACGGGGAGTAAAATGTCCAACATGAGAAAGCATTAGCTATCTCTGACCATCGGCTATCTCTGACCACCAGCTATCTCCTAGAGTTATTGGAACAAGCCCCTCTACCACTACAAGGGGAAAACATATCAGAAAGTGAGCGACTTATTACATCTGCTTATAGATGACGTACTAAAGACCAGTTATTATAATCTGTATTTTATTCAAAGAAAGCCCCTTGTGCATTGAACAGCAAGTGGCACGATCTAACAAACACTTTCGCTTCAATACAACTGTTACAATGGTGCTTTTTCTGAGTTTTAAACAGAATTTAATGTTAGCTTTTTTTTTTTTTTTTTTTGCTCCATGCTGATTACATAACAATGCACCTCTGACTAGGTTAACAAAATGGCGGCTTGTTTGTTGTCTGCTTATCGGGCGGGTATGAAAAGTTGCCAGATCATAGATGAAGGTCGCCTTTTTGGATTCCATACTGTGATTCATAGATGGCATTTTTGTCTTAGCCATAATAAAATCAATCTCATTACTTAACTGTGGGACCTTGTAAATTAATTGTATTATCTAAATATGTTTTTTCAATAAAATATCCCAATAATATAAATATACAAATAAATCTAAAGGTTGGCAGATATCCCAAAGATCAAAATAAGTGACATTTCTCATCACATAAACTCACCTCAACACCTAAAATACTGACATTGTCTGTAAGATCCCAAACGGGATTTCCCTGAGCATCATAACCACTAAAGCCGAATCCAGCGGCATTATTTAGAGCATCAGCTGAAATGTTTTCAAACAAAAACAAAAATGCAGTAATTATGCAAGAGGGGAAAAAAGATGGTTTTAAATTACAAACACAATTTTTAGAGTGTTTAATGGTGAGAAGACTGACTGCATGCACTGAACTATGAACCGCTCCCTAAGGCTTGGTCTCTTTCAACAGAGAAGACAGCGTCGAACACGAAACCTCACAGCTCAGGCAAAGGCCTCCAGAGATCTCTGACATAACTTGTACTCAGAACCAAAGGACCTTCGGCCCATGAGGCAAGCGTTAAATCACTCGCCACACGGACCCCTTAAAGAGATGAACGCCCATTATAATGCTTACAAAATGTTGAATCACTATGTTCCTTTGTGAAAAAACATGAAATTAATACCGTCATCAGCATGTGGCAGGTATTTTGCAAAATGACACTCCTACCAATAGTGAGGACAACACCATCACAGCACTTCTACCAGATCTACGGGTGCTCTGATCTCAATAGCTCCACAGGGGTCAAACTGATCATGTCCATTCTGTTGATTTATTACACTCCCACCATAATATGTTACACAGCCTCTCATCCTCATCATCACATGTCATGCTAATATGCGTAGGGTGTCATGTTATGCTATCTTATACAATCACCAGAATAAAAGATCATGTCTTTCTTTTCTCACCCCAGACATATGGCCAACCATACTTATCTTTCTGACTTCCTCTTGCTCTATTTATATCAATCTTGCCAGTCGTGCCAGTTGGTCTATAAATAATATAGGCCTTGCATCTTGTGCTTTATATGCCACTGGCATAAGGAGTCCTTTACTTTTTCTTACTTTGAGGTTAAAGCCTAAAGAATCGGCCCCACCGCAAAAGGTTTTTATCCCATACAGCTTGGCCTCTCTCTGCAAAATGGAGAGCCGCTAACCGAAAGCGTCACAGAAAGCAGGAACACAATAGCTCTGGGAACAATCCCCAAGGGTCTTTGTAAAAAATATTTAAAAAAAAGCTCCTAAACCGATATCACAAGAAAGATAAGACCTCTCTAAAATCCATGTACCTCACCACTGGAAATAGGACTAGTGGAAAGATAAAACAAGATTTACCTTAACTCTAGATACCTCACAATTGTACACAGAATTGCTGGAAAGATAAAACAAGATTTATCTAAACTCTAGTTACTCCACCTCTGTAAACAGATCTTCTGGAAAGATAAAACAAGATTTATCTAAACTCTAGTTACTCCACCTCTGTAAACAGATCTTCTGGAAAGATAAAACAAGATTTATCTAAACTCTAGTTACTCCACCTCTGTAAACAGATCTTCTGGAAAGATAAAACAAGATTTATCTCAACTCTAGTTACTCCACCTCTGTAAACAGATCTTTCGGCAAGATAAAATGAGATTTATCTAAACTCTAGATACTCCACCTCTGTAAACAGATCTTCCGGAAAGATAAAACAAGATTTATATAAACTCTAGTTATTCCACCTCTCTAAACAGATCTTCCGGAAAGATAAAAACAAGATTTATCTAAATTCTAGTTACTCCACCTCTGTAAACAGATCTTTCGGCAACATAAAATGAGATTTATCTAAACTCTAGCTGTAAACAGATCTTCCGGAAAGATAAAACAAGAATTATCTTAACTCTAGATACTCCACCTCTGTAAACAGATCTTCTGGAAAAATAAAACAAGATTTATCTAAACTCTAGATGCTCCACCTCTGTAAACAGATCTTCTGGAAAAATAAAACAAGATTTATCTAAACTCTAGATGCTCCACCTCTGTAAACAGATATTCTGGAAAGATAAAACAAGATTTATCTTAACTCTAGATACCTCAACACTGTAAACTAAACTCCCTCCACCGAAGACTGGTGTTTCTTCGGCAACTTTCGACCCACACATTTGAATTCAGCAAACTCTTAAATTAACTGCCTTATGACACGCTTGTAAAGGGGTAGTGTCTCTATTCTTTCCCCACCCACATAAACAAGAAATCCAACACTTATTGCTGTCACCTCAACCACAATTTTCTCAACCTAATTTCTAGTTGTGATTGGTTGTGACCAGAAATCATGTCAAGGACTGACCAGACAACATTAGCCCTTGCCAAACAGCAAATATTATGGAGTCCAAAAACATGTTATGTATAACTAAGCTAGGACTGCACAGAGCACTAGCTATTTGTACATTTACATATGGCTGTGAAACGTGGACCTTAACAGCAAACTCAAAAATATCCAAGCACTGGAAATGAGATCTTTCATAAAGAGACCACATCGTAAATTACTCAGCACAGTGAAAACTATGAACCTCTTTCAATCTTAAGTGAAAATGCAATGATACCGACATACAATAAGGTCTAACGGTCTCTAAAAAAACAATACTTTAGGGCTCAGAAGAGGAGATGAAGAGAAGAGGCAGACCAAGAACTTGACTGATTGGACAAGCCTTAGGCATGCAGCAAGGGCGTCTATTCATCAAACGTGTAGGCAGCTGATCAGAAAGTCAACAGCAACTGGTGGCCTAACGACATGCAGTGTTAAGGGACAATGATGAACTGGTTGTGTAGATGTTTAAGAGCAACAAAATAAACGCTACATACAGGACACTGCATCAAGCAGCATAAAGTTTATTAAACATAATGAAAACAGGAAACTTACTGTTTAATTTCTCTGGTGGAAAAAAGAGACCAGGCAGAATCATCATGCCAGCGCAACATGCTGAAGCAATGACCAGTTTCCTCAGCACAATTTTCTGTTCAAGACAGTAATACACTCATGTAAAAATATACATAAGACTACAATTCTTTTATTTTATTAAACAGCAACACTATTCTACACCACATCATGTGCTAGACACAGGCGTATGAATGATAGAGGCTGTGCCTTCTGGTTTCTTTATTATGTATTGAACAGAGGTGTTTTGAAATTGGCTGAAGATGTCAGAATTAGGATCAACATTCCAATATCATATTTTTTTTTAAAAGCATCCCAGGACGAGCTAAGACTTCCAAGGGGAGATGTATAATACTTCTGCACTCACCCTTAAAAGGGAGACAGAATTTTGGATGTGCTTTAAAGCTAGACTGTAATATCCGTGTATTTTTGACAGAATGAATGAATGAATCAAGTCGTGACATCACTGCACACTGGACATTCTCACTGGTGCTCCGTCCCCTTCTTCAGTAGCCAACACAAAGTCAACATGCTAACAGTAGCACTGGCAACCTGATTACAAGTTCACCTATAATTTCTTTTCAGTGTCAAACACCTTTCAGACCCCCCATCCCCCACCCCTTTTTTTTTTTAAATTAGTCTTTTAATATAAGGATTCTCTCTCTCTCTCTCTCTGTTCTATTTAACTGTCCATTTGATCCCAGAGAGCTTTATCAAAGTAGCTCACCGCCCAGAAGGGTGGTTGGCAGCAGCTACCCTATCAGCCTGTTCCCCATCTCACACACCTGAATATCCTGGACAGAAAATCTGTAATATCATCTTAGTCTGAGTCATATCAAGTGATGTCAGTCACTCTGCACGCAGGATGCCAGTTTAAATTCTCCACAGCATGCTCTGTGAGTCGGCTACAATTACATGCTAAGCTATGCAGCTCCTAAGCCATCCGAAAGCTGTCCTGTAGGATGTATAATTCACAATGGACTATGTGATCTGTGCATTTCATTTACAAGGATTTGAGTTTCATAAAATGTGGATGTGAATTCTACAGCCTGAGGGTGATGAAATTATGCTGGACAATAGATTGTGCAAATACACTAATGTTTAATCAGCAGAACAAATACCAGAAGCTGATGCTACAGGAATACCTACATTTCTGTCAATTTGAACTGAGAAAATAAAAGTCAAGAGATGTTGTTTCTTTACTACTGTGACATAATGAGTTTTGTGCAAGGCCCACTTTTTCAGGGCAATAGTGACCACATGTAATCAGTGTATACAGACAAAAGATATTCAAGATAAATTCAGGACTTGATACTTGAGAACTATTATGAGAGTGATGCGGTGATTTCCTTCACAGGCATGAGGGAAAATTAAGGCTGTTGTGCAGTGTAAAAGAGGATACCCTGTATCTCACTTCGGGTGCCAGTATTCTCCTTGCTGGTTTATAGAACCTCAAGCAAGACTTCTGTCACAAGTCCAGTGTCATGTGCCGTGGATAAAGGCCTAAGTTGGCCGAAGCCAAACTGGAAGGGGATCTCACAGCTGGTGGTCCCCAAAGATGCACTGTCTAGATAAGCACTAACACACATCAGCCCACCCCCAAAGCATTGGTGACAGCAACTATTGGGAACTCATGGATACAATGAATGAAGTCTATAGACCAAGTCTCCTACTAAACTATACACAATGGTTCACATGTTTTTTGATCAAGAGTCCTACTAAAAGGCAACTTCAAAAGGTTCTGAATGGCTATAGTCATCCCACAGATAGGATTGACGTTTCCAGAAGTATTCTTTTCGAAGTCAGAGTGCATCTTTCTGAGAGGCAAGGATTCCATTGGTCTGTAAAATGGATATACACAAAAAAATCCTGAAACAATGCCGAAGCCCATATATGGGCGAACAACGAGGAGTTTACAGCCAGTGACTGCAAACATACATGAACATGTGCAAAGTATTTGGGCCTTCACAGCTCAGTACAGAGGAAGAACTATGATGGAAGAGTGTGGTGTTTTTGTCTGCAACAGCATGTCTGAGGACAAAGACCTTCATTCGGGCAGGTTTTCTTCATGACTCAATGACTATCCTCAAGATCGGCTGAGCTCATGGGCTGAGCTCAAACACAGTAGCTTAAGTCTCTCAGGAGGCCAAAACTGACAAACATCAGCCTTTTATGCCAGGATATTGGTATAACCTTTTCTTTGGTGTTAACAAAGCAGCTGAGACAGGGACAACAAATGGTCTCTGCAATACTGTCCCAGCTTTGTCCAACAGATTCAGAAGCTTCTTCCCTGGCTTAAACAGGTTATCACCATGGGCAGTGATTCCCATGCTTCCCTATACCATAGTGTAACACTATCGTAACAAGTGGTTCTTGAGAAGAATGTTGAGAATACCTTGAACTGCCAGAATAACCAACCCTGATTGCCTGGAAATGGCTAATGAAAGTACAACATTATATACAACAATGAGGACACAAAGTTCTTTGGTCATTTGATGAGAAAAGGAGCACTGAAAAATATGACTGGAAAGATCACTGATAGAAGAGGCAGAGGCTCAAAACTGTTTTACACCATCTCTTTGAGTGCCCAAAACTCAGCGAGAGATTAGAAGAATGCTACCCCATCCGAGACCAGACAGGTGGAACACCTTGTACGGAGGAAAAGAACAGCTTGTGAAAACATGCAAATTCCACTACATGGCATTGGGCCACCAAAGGGTGAAAGCTCATGCGCCGCTGGATCAACAATAACAACAAGAGGCAGACCAAGACACATGATAGTGGATGGCTTATGACAGTGGCATGGAGGAATATCATTAGTAGAATTGACCCAGAACACCAAAGAATGAGATCTGTGGAGATGCCTGAACACCTATGCCAGCTGGCAAGGCACTTAATGATGAACACTATCATACAAGAAAGATGGCAAGCTGCCAGCAGTGAGGGTATCAGAGAAAGTAAACTAGATCTGAGGTTTGCTGACAAGGCTATTGTGGAAAGTGAAGCAGCAAACAAACTGCTGATATTCTAAATGCTGTCAGAGAGGCCAGGCAACTAAGAGTCCAGTGGTGACAGACTCAGCAACTCTGATCAGACAACAAAAAGGTCAAGTCAAACAGGGTGCAGAACTCTAAGCACTATAGTCTAAGACCAAGAAAAAAATATATTTTCTGCATATTTGTTTCAGGTAAAAAAACAAAAATGACTAGTTTTGGCAACAACAACAAAAAAAAAAACATTAAAAAAAAAATTAAAATGTTTGTTTAAACTGTTTAAATGAAAATAGAAGAAATTCACTCTTATTTTATATTTATTCACACCTAACAATAAAACTGAAAAATTTGAAAATAGAAAAGTCTCAATATCACTGTGCTATTTTTACACCATCAAGATAAAAATGTAATTGTGTCATAAGTTTTTTTTTTTACATTTTTGTAAGTAGAAAAATTTTTTTTTTAATTTGCTTTAAGATATTTATTTCCAATCAATGTTTGATGTCTATAGTAAATAGCAGTGAAATCACTTCATTAATTACTTTTTTTTTTCTATAGATTTCCTTCATGAACTAAACTAAAGTATACTATATTTAAACTAAAGCAGAACTATCGTAGGTAGCTAAACACTACAGGAAACACAGAGAGGAGGAACAATCACTTATGTGTTGAGTGGTTCTACATGCAGTGGGGATGATCTGGCATTAAATAATTCTCAAATACATTAAATCAAACGCTATTAAACACGGTCCACGTTACATTTACATAAACATTCTGAAGAAGAAAAAAAAACAGATCTTACATTCAAACTATCTGCTGGGTGTCTTCGTGAGCTGCCATTCTGTCAAAAGAAAATCAAATGTGTACATAAGTTAGTCAAGACAAGAGCAGAAAATCTTAACAATAATAATACTTTATAAAGCTACGTTTTCCCTGTGTGGGTTATGGGGCCACACTATGAGGGGAAACAAGAATAGACAACTGCCGGTTGCAAGTATGTCGTAGGAGTTTATTCATTAGGGATTTTTTCCTTCAGTGAATTTATTTCAGGAAGGACTCATTGCCCCTCCATTAAGCATACTGTTAAAGAGGACTAATTTGAGTTTTTCGGAAAATGTGTAGTTTTGGGCTGGAATATTGCACCCCAGGCTAAAACACATGACTCTACCTGGCCTCCTCTTCTTTTTTTTTTTTTACATGTAAGTTAAACAGTGTTTTTTTTTGGTGGGCTTTACTTTAAAATGCTTGATGCTTTGTGATTTACGCTGTTGCTCTTTAACATCTACACAAACAATTACAACGTGCCAACCAACCCTTTTTCTAAGAATGAATGTAGAAGAAGGAATACTTAATAGATGACATAACAGTTTTCCCACATTATCAGTAATAAACCATTTAGGCACTTAACATTCTGAATGTTTTGTTATTAAAATCAACGTCACTGCACACTGGGAATTTCCTTGTGTGCTTAGTCGCTGATCTACAGCCACACCAAGGTACTTCTACTAATTGTTCTCATGAGAGGCTGGTTATAATCTCTCCTATCTCGGCCTCAAGGGCAGCATAAATGTGCTTCACTATCAGGTCATGCAACCATGTTAGTGTCAGAGATTCTTCATTATCCACTAACCCAGTCCATACAGCATTGATGATATCTGCTCTGAAAATGCTTCTTCCCACACATGTTGGTGCATTGCCTGCCAGTTGGTCCGCTCACTCATTTACCCTTAAGGCCAGCATAACCATGTGTGTAGATCCGGGTGAGGATAAGGGCGATTTGTGAATGTTTTCTACACATTCAGAGAGCATACCGCCTGTTGCTATCTTCTGAATCATGTTCAAGGAGTCTCATACAATTACTGCCTGTGTGGCTGTTTGCTCTGCTGCCCATGCGAGTGCTCTAGAGCAGCAGCTATCTCCATGGTCATGCCTGAGAGCTGCCTGGTAAGTGCCGCAGTCCTCTTTTATTGTTTTCCCCATCCTTTGTGCTGTGTATGCTGATGGTGACCTTGATCCACGCTCACAGATCCATCTGTGTAACAATAATGTCTTCTGAGTGTGAATGCAGATCTATCAGTGCCTTACCTCTGTGTCTACGGCCACAAGAATCCCATCGCTGCAGCACACACCCCCCCCCCACCCAGATAAAGACAAACTTTGAGATGCCATGCATGTCTACTGGTGTAATCGTCCATTCATTTTCACGACTGATCACCTGCTGGATTATGTCTTCAGAAGTGGTCTATTTTGAGACATTTCATTTGTGTCGTGTAAAACATTGTGCAGTGGGTGGTTAACGTCCGCCTAAGCCCTCATGTACACCTGGACCTGTGAACCTTTGTGTATGCTGAATAACATAAACTTTCCATACGACACCATCATACCTTGCGTTTCTCTACAGCTTACCTGAGATGAGCCTGGCTTACTGAAGTTGGTTCCATCAATAAATGCAATGTAGTCATTGTAGAAGGTCAGAGGCCCCACCATGATGCCATGGAAGTAGAACATGTAGCTGAAGTACTCGAGGATGTTGGGAAGCTTCCTATCGAGGTACAAGAATATGAGTAAATCAAATCTGGAAGACAATGAAAGACAAATGTTTTTGGCCAACAAGAACACCCTCTTAGTCACAAACAATGCACATTAGTCTTTCCTCTTGAGCCTTGGGTGGTGCATAGGGCAGAAGGGCCACCTGTTTCAGGTCTTATGTGTTTATTAGGCCCATGGTTGAACCATCCCTGTTGTTCGTTATAGACAGGGTCTATCTAGGTCTTCACCAAGTGCCCACAGGAGGGCTTAATGGGGAAGCCTTGTCTTATCCATTCTGAGTGCATGGCCGATTTAGTTTTAGTGGTGCTTTCTTATAAAACTGGATACATTATTTTGCTTGGTCTCGTGTCTTATTTGCATACTGGATCTGAAATCTGTCCAGTGAAGATTTGGCATTCTTCTAAAACATTTGTTCTCAAAATTGTCTTATCTAGAGCTAACGTTGCTTACCAAACGCACTTGAATCACAAAAGAGTTAAAGAGTTTTGTGTGTTTGCTGAATGTCTTTGACTTCCAGATGTTTGACAGTCTGTTAAGGGCACTAGATGCGACTGTGATTCTAGATGTTTTTTCTAGCACCCAGTTATGTAAAGCTGTTGATTTTTTCAAAAATGATCAAAACTGCTGTATCATCTGTTTTACTTTTTCTTCTTCTTCTGTCAGTACTGACTGTGGGTTGGATGTGATTTTATACACACAGCAGCTGCATATATGTATTTTTATTTTATTTTAGTAAGAAAGAAGAAGGGGAAAGGGAAAGATACAAATGAGGGGGAAAAAAAAAAAAAACAAGATAAAGGGACAAACTGGAAAAGGGAAATCAGTGACATTTTTTTTCTTTTATGAATGTTGAGGGGATTGGGTATCTTGTTTGTGTCTGAGCACATTTCCTTGTTTTTTTTTTTTTTTTTAATATATTTCTTTTCCTGCCCTACAAATCAATTTGTTTGATCAGCCTATATATTTTGTGCTCACTGTTCACATGGAGACACTCTTGTTCTTTTTTTTTTTCCTTTGACCATGTGAATACCAGTACAAGGACAAACTAGTTGATGAACATAACTGCTTTTACTTTCCTAGACATTTCCTGACACCCCTTTTAGACTATTGGCCTGGGAGCCGAGTCTAAATACTATTTTAGTTTAAATCTGACTGAAAATATTCAATTTAATTTAATATATGCTCAGCTTTAAAGACTGGTACGTACACATCAACCCTGCTACGCGCTGCTTAGTGGGGGAAATAAGAATACCTGACAGCATGCTCCTTCTGGTCTCGAGTTAACGTGGACTCGTCCTTATACCTTCCATCATGGAGAGCGAACGCCAGGCTTGTCAGTTTCTGAGTCTGTATCATTAAAGGCCTGCAATCAAAGGAACCACATGTCTTAACTCACGTAACCACAAAATCCTGGACTACTAAAAAATCTACTGACTCTTAAAATTTGTCACTCTACAAAAATCTGTCACGCTCTATCAAAACTCGCCACACTCTGTAAAAAGGTGTCACACTCTATAAAATGTCAGACTCTTATCAAAACTCATCACAATCTGTCAAACAGCCTAAAACCATATTTATATCTTCTCCTTCTTGGAGGAAGATTTTAGGCGCTTCTACAAGCACTTTCTAGTGTGTTATATAATAAGCTGGTCATTATCTCTCTAAGGTTGTTCCTGACACTGTTGTTTCATATTTTCATGGTCTTCCCCTTGTTCTTAGGCCATTATACTTCTTCAACATGGCAGGTGGGTACGCGGGCGCTTTGGTCAGTTGGTCAATTTACCATTTATATCACATTAACCATCAAGAATACAGACCTAGCAGGATCAGGCTAGAATACTGACTAAGCTCTTGACGTCTGAATGGAGAGATACATTTGAGTCTAGAAACTGGATTTTCTACCATTATCTTGATTGTGATGAGTATCTGGTCATTCAGTGATTTCTAACAACTAGAGTTCACCTTGTCACATAAACCAACATAGAAGATTTAGACCCTAATGATGTTACATCAACAGAGAAGGTCTAGTCATCAGGCTATGTTACAACAACATCTTCTCCCCAACTTACAACCATCCAAGCGTACAACCATAAAATAGTAAGCAAAGGCAAATAACTACACTGGCAAGGTAAAAAGTTTCCACAATTGATGCAGAAAAGCACAGATGTAATTTTCCCATTGCGCACAATTATTATAAGTACATAGATTTTGAACTGTTGTGTTTTATACAAAATTTGTATAGCCCTTTTTGTGCGAAAATAGCGTTGACAAACATAAATTTAGTCAATGACCAGTTGGCCTTATAACCGGGTAGTTGGAGCGGAACTCAGTCGTAGGTGGTGAAGACCCTGTATTAGAAAATGTCCACATACTTAATCATCATACAGATAATTTTATACTACCCCAGCACTGCCCATCTAACTCAACAGTGCCAGAAAACATCACATATACTAGGAATGTCAAACGAACTAAGATCTTTTAGAAAAATTAACCAGAACGTTGAACAAAGTTAAGATAATGATAGGACAGTATGCTTTGAAGAAGGTCAACCAGTTTAGATACCTTAGAGCTGTAATAGACCGAAACGGAGGTATTAAGACTGAGCTGGCTACACGAAAAGCAGCTGCTGAGAGACTCTTCCGGGCGATAAACCAAGGACTTCTTAGCAAAAGAGAAATTGGCAAGAGTACGAAAATGGCTGTTTACCGCTCTACCTATGTACCAGTCCTGACCTATGGGTATGAGTCATGGGCAACGACAACAGCTCACAGAAGCCAGCTTCGGGTCTCAGAAATGAGATATCTGAGAAAAGTGGTCCAAGTAACAAGATGGGACAAAGTCCGCAATCAGACAATTGGTCAGGATCTTGATACCCAGTCCTTACAAACCTGAGTGGATCAGTCACAGTTATGATGGTTTAGATTTGTAAGCAGAATGGGAGAAAATCTGCCACCATTACAGGTTAAGAACCAGATCTTCAGACCGACCTAGGGTACCCTGGGAAGACAACATCCGACAGTACCTGACTGACAAAGGACAGTAATGGAACAAAGCCAGAATAAAAACTGCTAATAGAGAAGTCTGGCGATCTCTCTGGCAAACCTCTACACCCCAAGGTAGAAGAGGAGCGATTAATTAAGTAAGTTGAACAATGTTTAGAAAATGTCACATTATTGTCAAATTGATAAGCATCAAACAATTTACCAGAAATTGCTCAATTAACGATCAATGTCAAATTAACCAGTGGTGTTTAATACATTTTTAAAAATTTAACAAAATGTTTAACCAACAAGCAAAGAGCATCGTTAAACAAAGTAAAGGATCTACTAGAAAATGTCAAATTAACGAACAGTGTTAAACTTTAAAAAAAAAAAAACATGTCTAATTAACAAGCAATAAACAATTTACCAGAAACTGCTCAATCAACCAGAAACTGCTAAATTAACAAGCAATGTCAACTAACTAAAGAGTCTACAAGAAATCAATTACCCAGTGATGTCAAGTGTGTATCCTCCATAGTCGTAAATCTGCCGATAAATATGGCAGCCTGACAGATACATCATAGTGAAGCCAAACACCAGTGCATGGCTGAACCTTTTCCCTCCGTACGCCAAAAAGGCATAGCTGACAACAGATTGAGCCAGAAGGTGCCAGATCTGACTGAAAAATATTAGGCAAATCAAAGTTCAGTATTACGAGATGAAATATGAAGGTAACAAGACCACTTTATGCAACTAATAAAACAGAGTGCATACTAAATTTTACGACAGCAAGCTTAAACATTCTTGTGACGTAGAATGGATGACAGGATAAGGGTGCTTCAACCTGTGGTACAAGGGTTGCGTGGTCTGAAGGAGCAAGTAAATACTGTAATTTTCCAGCCCCCCCCCCCACCAAGAGATCAACAGCACGTGAGATATGTTAATAGTACACACCTGCCCCACCCCCACACTAATCATTTATATAACCACAGACCTCATAAATCAGTCATAACATCTACAATCATTTGTGTCCCCATAAACCATTCCACCCACATCACTACTGTAGCCCAATCCACATTCTATTTCAGGAAGACATCTATAAGATCGTTGTGATAAACCATGAGTTGATTTTTTACAATTTCGGATCTATCCAAAAACAAAAACTGATTTCAGCAACTTTAGGCACTTTAAATACCCACAATTTAAAACAATAAGTGAGCTGTGACAGCTGGGAATCTTGCGAGATATGTTCTGTGAGCAGTGCAGATTATTAATAGGGCAGAATGGACCTAGGACCACATACAGAACACAAGGTCCCCACTGTCTCAGCAACAAGCATGTCATTAGGGATCATCGCTGAAGCTTCAGAGTTTGTGCTCTGTGTGATGCTCTCGGCAGATGCTAGACCTTCTGCAGAGAGTGACCAAGCCAGATCGGATAAAACTGATGCAATGAAGTCGATCCTTTCCACTTTAACCTTTCAAATGCATATAAGATAACACATGTACACCTGTCGCAGTCAACACAAAGGAGGAAAAACCATCGAGACGACAAGAATAACAGGACCATAATAGGACCCAGACAATTTAACCAGTTAGCGATGCAAAGCCATCAACCTTTATCAATGATCTTTGCACTGTCTTTCACTGTAGCCAAACATACTATCACCTGACTGATTTCAACACCTCATTTTTCATTCAGTCTCTCCAACAATATGTACTTTTCCTTCTGCATTTGCCTCAACAACAAAAAAGGCGGCTGTGCTGTGACGTCTGCTCTTTTCTGCCCAACACATTTTACTTCAGCAAACTTCTAGTCTCAATTTAAAACATGCCCTGTTAAGGGACAGTGGGTCTGCTCTTATTTCCTCCTTAAAACCGGCGATCCATGACCCACACGGGACTAAGCTATGTATCTGATTCTCCCTTTAAAAAATTAATATGACTTTTTTACATACGTCTCCAATCGACCCACATGGTTAACTCAAGGGCCATATATATATATATATATATATATTTCCTATAAAAAATATATATATATATATATATATATTCTATATATATATATATATATATATATATATATATATATATATATATATATATATATATATATATATATAGACACATATCCACATTGTCAATACTTTAACCTGTTAACAGCTTCTTCACTATCTAGGTTTCTGCACCAACAGGACTGAACAAATAACCAGTTACGGGTCCTGCCGTTAAGCAGAGGCAGTCATGTATCACCATCTCACGTGATCACAGATCACATCAACGCTCATCCCAGCCCATCTATTTAGCCAAGCCATCCAGGTACTTATCGACTTGAGTTCACTTGAAATAAATTATCTATATCTGCAATGCTGTCTCTAGTATGATGGTACTTATCTCACTGCCTTCCTTTTTTTGTTGAATACAAATGAACAAATATGTAAATGATAACAGCAACTTACTATCCAAAACAAAAAAAAGTCAGAAGCACCCCAACTACTGCCTCGATAACATGTCTCGTAGTGGTTCCAACTTTTTCCGCAGACAGATGGGTCCTGAATGGAAAAGCAAAGCACAGGGCCACAACCTGGCACACCAAAAAGTTTATCTGCAACAACAACAAAATCAAACCACTGAAACTGGGACAGATGGTATCAAAACAGCCAGTTTTCAAACAATCTAAAAGGTTATAAATATTCTTCTCCGGCCCTGTAAAGCCTATTGTAGTAAAGGCCCTCAACCAAATCATGTCAAGCTGCCCTATCCACTGCCAACTCCTGAGCTTCTACCATGACCTCCCATGTGGTTTTCAAACTTGTTCAGGTGGTACCCAACTTGAATATATGGCACAACAGGGTTGGGGTTAGGGCAGTGCCCTTAGTCTTTTCAAAATAAACAAGGAAATTATGTTATAACAAATCAGATCCATCTTTCTCGTTAAAGAATGTTATTCTTTGAATTTGCCAGTATATGATTCTTTTTTGCTTGATTACAGAAGGTATATTTGAAAGCAAGAAACAGACTCAAGAACTTGGTGACAACTAGCAAGATTACCAGGAGGACAGAGGGAGAGCACAGAGGAGGACAGAGGGAAAGCACAGAGGAGGACAGAGGGAGAGCACAGAGGAGGACAAAGGGAGAGCACAGAGGAGGACAGAGGGAGAGCACAGAGGAGGACAGAGGGAGAGCACAGAGGGAAAGATAAATACCATGATTGCTTGGCCACATGCAAGGGGTGGGAGAAGAGCACAACCTTATCCGTCATTTTTGCTGATTGCTTAGGATGACAAATGATGACTGCTTATACTTTTCAGTGTGGCACATGGTGATGATAATTCCAGGGGGCACTGGGTGGGGGGTTTTTTTTTGCTGCTGAGAAGGGGGCAGTGGGTCCAAAAGTTTAGGCAACACTGGGTTAGGGTAAGGTAAAGGATCCTATTACACCAGTGGTGCCATGGGCATATGATGTTAGACTCATATTTTATAGCTCAGCCCTCCGTCGAATTTGAGGTCAACATAATGTTGGCCACCTTTACTTTCTAAGACTTTACCTGGTACCCATTTGAGGCTGGGTTGACCTGAGAGCCAAGGTCAATTTTGAAAAATATCGGCATCTATGAGAATTTATTCAAGATCTTCAGAACTAAGGCGACCATTTAGCCACTACATTACAGTGGTTTATAAATTTAACAGATAATTTCCATTTTGTGTACATTTCTAAAGATATGGTTAGCAGACTATGCAAAATAATCAGGCTATTTTTCTTCAGTTTAGTTATCAGTTTTTACAACTGCCAGTTTGTCTTCACTGTGCAGGCCAGTAGTAACTAAGTATGTCAACCATCAAATCAAGCAGCTTAAACAGATCATGGCACAAGCAGATAACAAGGCCCGATTAGCTACACTACAAGCAGATTATAGACCCTTCTGAATATGGAACATCTTAATCTTTCATATATAACTGGGCATTCTGATAGCAAATCCACTACAGTATGGAAACCAGAATATAAGATAAACAGTGGTTTCTTCTCGAGGGAAGGGAGGGGTTTGACACTGAACCACTATTTCGCTACTGATGTCTTCAAAGATGTGCTCACCCTTAATAAGGCAGTTGGCACATCGTGGTTTACCGCTAGGCTGCGATATCTGTGCTTTTCAGACTAACACATTGCCCTCCAGCAAACCCCTAAGTTAGTCACCTTTTACAACAAGCTTGTTTAACAGCAGTGGGTTTATTTCTCCTTCCCCTCCAAATGAGGCATGTGAAGAACCCATTGAGAGCAAAAGCACACTAAATATGGCTATCTGAATTTTTCTTCAAAACCAAAACCATATTTTATATGATGTATGTAAAATAAAAATTACCTATGGCATTCATTGATCATCTGACTTGCTGATGCGAGCAATTAAGTGAGTGCACATCATCGTCACCCACTATCATTATCACTAAACTGAATGATGACATTTACACTTTAGATGGCACACAATTAATGATGTGCCTGCAGTAAAGTTTACTGCATACATGATACCCTTGTGCTATGAAAGCTTTTCATGCCTTTTGTGTTTATATATAGGGTTATTCAAAACGATGGATCTACTTTCATTCATGTATATTTCCTTAAAAATACATTACATATCAACAATATATACACAGTGGGGAAGATCTATATAGTTTCAAATATTACAGCTAGAGTGCAGTTACCAATCTGCTGAACCCTATCACAGCTGCAGTGAATTCAGTTACGCAAGAGATGCTTCTCTCTGTGTGGGATTGAGTTTTGCTACCGCTCAGATGTTTACTGAACAGCAGATGGCGGTTATATTGATCGTCTACAACAGGGCTATTCAACTAAGTCTGTGCAGCGGCGTAAATGTAGAAAAATGGGAATGTCGCAGGCGAGAAGCACCAGCCTAGAAAGACCATTAATGCAATACAATTGGTAGGTGATCTGCGGACCACTTGCTAGGCCTTGGCGGGCCGGATCTGGCCAGCGGGGCTAGGTCAATAGCTCTGATCTATAACCTCTATTGTAAGTTTGTAAACTTCAGATCTTTCTCTCCCTCCTGCGTGTATATAGTTAATATGTAGTATATATTGAAGGCAATATACATGTATGAAAGTGTATCCATCATTTTTAATAACCCTGTATATATAGGACTGTCTGTGTCTGGCCTTGACAGCAAAGTTAGTATGAATAAGGCACTAATCAGCTGTTTTATATATATATAGCCATCTTTCTCTACACATCTATCCCCATGTGGGGTGAGTGGTCCTTTGGTGAAAGGGCGAATGGGGGACAGACCCACTGCCCCTACCCCAACCATGTCGTAAAAGTCAACTAACTGGGGGTGTTTCCTCCTAAGCCAGAGTGCATCTGCCTGAGGGGCAAGGAACCAACAGACTGCATACAAACAGACAAATCTTTAAAATGGATGTGCATGGAAAAGCTAAGTTCTGAAAAAAAAAGATCAAAGTCCAGAAGTGGACGAATAACCAGAACTGTCCACCAGAGTTTACAGCCGGTGAACATCAAGAAAAAGAAATCTACAGCACTATCTCAATGGATGTTTGATTTCCCTAGGTGGGTTATCATGTACTTTACTCTTATTATCTTTGTCTTTCCCCTATGATTTTTTGACCTTCCTTTGTTGTGAGCTCTAACTGAGCATGAGGGACATTCAGAATGTAACAAACTTTATTTTTTTCCTACAGACTTTTCAAACAAAATGTATGAAATTCACTTACAGTATAACTTGTATCATTTACACCAGTGGTCTCCAACCTTTTTCAAGTCGTGCCCCCTTGATTATATGGACATACCCCCATGCCTTACGTGAGTTATGAGTTAGATTATCTTCACAGGACTCCGGACACATGCCCGTGTGTCACCAGGGCCCTCACAGGAAGCAAAGAATAGTGACACTGCACCCTACCAGGCATGTCGTAAGAGGCGACTAAGGGTGGGGTTGGGCTTGAGGTTGGCTACCTCATCCTGTAAAAACTATAGCCACAAAAACCAACCAACCATGGATAAGTCAAAAAGAGAAGCAAGTAAAACCCAGCCAACCAAGATGAGGGGAGGCTCTTCAAGTAGAAGAAGTATGACACGGTGGGGAGAAAGCCGTAAGGAGTCCAGAAAATCGACGTACCTCCTCTCAGCTAAGAAAACCTCCAGAATTGCCACCTGGAATGTTAGAACTCTCTATGATATAGGGAGAACAATGGAAGTAGTTAGGGAAATGAAACAATGAAGGAAAGCTAACAGATACATTTGAAATAAAAACTGGTGTGCGATAGGGATATCTTTTGAACAAAACTCCTAGATCAGTAGATGTTTGTATTAATCAATCCTCATCGCAACCAGAGACAAACTGTTGCCATTCAATTAGATCCTCAGCCATTCTCTCTATCTCCAGTTTTGTCCTTCGCATAGCCTTGAGTTCAGCCTCAAAGGTTCGCTTCCAAGTGCCTCTTCCTTGCTGTCCATTGTACTGCCTGTCTCGGCCACCTCTCTTTCTTAATTCTGAGAATGTGTCCAATCCACCTCCATCTTCGGTTTTTTTCTTCTAAATGTATATCTAGGTCTGTCATTTGATGCAATTTAGAATTGCTGATTTCACGTGAACCCCAATGATTTTCTAAGAAGTCTTTCCTCAAAACCTCTGAGCTTGTTCTCTCTCTTTCTGATTTCCAAGTTTCTGTTCCATAAAGGAGAACTGTCTGAACGCATGTTCTGTATATCCTGACTTTAGTTTCAGTGATGTAGATGTTTGATCTCTAAACGCTCTGAAGTAAGCAGCAATCGCCTTTCCAATTATGAATTATTTGACTGAATTCAACCTCTACATTTCCATTCAAGGAGATATTGCTTCCTAGTTGAGTAAAGTCAGTTACTGTTTCCAAACCTACATTATCTATTACTATAGGTTCCATAGATGTTCGAAAAGGTTCCATTTAAAAGGCTATCTGTGTGTCTGTGATTGCTTTCTTCATTATCTGTTTGTATAAGAACTGAGTATTAATGAATTTTTATTATTTCTCCTTACTGGTTCCTAATATGTCTCATAACATTTAAATTTAAGTCTTAATTTTTTTTAATGCTATATTTAGTGTTCTAAATTGTTCTACTGCTGATTACAGTTTCAGAAAAAGTTTAATTCTCCTGTGTTCGCTTGAAACAGATTTTCTATTTACATCTGCAATCAGTCTTCTGCAATTAATTTTTTTTTTTTCAACAATAAATTACAAATACTGTTTATTTATTAATGATAAATGATGTCAATCTGGTCAGTCAGGTCAACTTCGGTCAAGGCCGTTTTAAAATCAAATGAAAATGGCCTTGGTCAGGTGTCTCCATATAGTTGTCTGCAATAAAGAATATAGCAATAGGGCTTCAACACCCCCTTGTCCTGTTTGTTGTGCACTACACACCTTTTGATCATAATAAATTACGCTTACAAACAAAACCAGACCATCGAATCAATTAGCCTGAGCTATTCAAGTAATTCAACTGAAGGCTAGCAAGTGGCTCGCGGATCATTGTCAGTTCAGTAACGATCTTAAGGTTTAAAATGTTAGCCCCTGGGTATTTTAGTGGAATAGCCCTACTAATCATTCATGGGATTAATCAACAAACAGTTCAAATAATAGATTTGAAGTTAACGTACCTGATCGATGGGAATTCCAACCACGTCTGCAAGAGGTGTCAAAAAACGGGATCCGCCATAAAAATCGTTTTTAGACGACATATCTGTCGATTTACGTTCCTACAGTAAATACTTACTGGAATAATATCTTAATCTCTCATGCACAGATGGATACTCGAAGTGACCGAAGTCCTGTTATCTCAAGAAGAATTATCAAACTAATCAAAGAGAAGTGAGAACAGGTGAGTGTCCAGTCAGTCACCCGTTGAAGCGATTTAATTTAAATTCTGGCAGTCAGAAAATGAAATTGTGGATTTAACTCAAACCCTCATTAGAATAGAGTTACTTGCATGCTCTAAAGTTGTGTGCAGCGTATAATATTCTTCCAGAGGTGTTACTGTTATCTGGTGAACACTGACAGAAGGACGCGCTGGTAGCTGCCGAACGCTGCACGTCGTGCCCTGCCTGTTGGGGACACTTCTGAGTTCTGACCTCCCCTTCTTGCACGTCACCGAGAGACCAGCTTGGCGTGTCTACTGCCAAATATAATTGCTGTTTTAATTATAATACACAACATTAATTTTTTAGGTGGCTAAGATAAACTTCCTATAATTATCATTTCTAAAAATGTGTGTGAATTATTGTAAGATTTTAAACAAAATTACCAACTTAACTGTTGGTAAGTCTTTCTAATTTCCTAATGTATTATTGTGTTCTCTTGGAGAAGACCAAGAGTGACCCTGCGTAGAACCATCATCAGAGAAGGCTCAACCATAGCCTAATGAACATTCAAGATCTAAAAATTGTGGCAACGAATCGCCAGACATGGAGAGCTATGACCTCTGTCCTATGCGCCGTCTTTAGCTCAAGAGGGAAAACTAACAAACTAATATACTGTTTGCTTTAGAAATAAATTTATTTTATGCTTTCCTGCTAGCAGTTTTATTATTTCTCGTTTATGTTACATGTTCATGGCGGCTGTGTAGCCGCAAAGTTAATTTGTTCTCAGATGTGATATTTCGAAGCCGATTATTTCTACCTCTCGTTTAAGATTTGTTTAAATGGTTAATATTTGTAAAGGATGAGAAACGCTGTAAAATCTGCCAAGTGGTACTATTATTAGACTCACGTGGTGATGGTCTCATGCAACTTTGAGCTGAATCAGGTCATGCTATACTGTGTCGTCTCCACAATTAAGGTTGGCTGCAATGGATTTCTAACACGCTTTCACCTAGGGGGTACATACTCTCAGACTGCACTTGCATCTTTTTGAGGCTATCCTCCCACTCGTGTCACTGTCTGCATCTTGATGGCTTCCAATATACTTTCCCCTCTAGTTTGAACATGTAAGGGTTTCTTGTTGGTAGGCGGCAATCAATTCACTCTTCTTCCGGAGCCCCATTTGGGGGAGGGGGGAGGACAGAACTGACCCACTGACCTTGACAATCACTACTTCTTCTTTAGTTCGCTTGAAATAGGTTATTTATAGCTGCAGTGTTATCTACAGTGATGTGGCGTCGGTGGTGTAAAGGTTAGCATGGTTGCCTTCCAAGCAGTCGATCCGGGTTCGATTCCCGGCTGACGCATTATTTTATTTATCATTTGTTTCTATGGGTGTGTCTGTGTGTGTATATCTGTATTTTTGTATGTGCGTGTCTGTGTGTGAAGGTAAGTGGGTGTGTTTAAGTGATTGGGGGGAGTGGTGTGCGTGTATTACCACCCCTTTTGTGCTTTTTTGCACCTCTTGTTTGATATTCATAATATGCATATTATCAAATGAATATAACATGCCTATTGATAAAATACAGCGGCAGTGTGTAAGACGGGCCTGCGTGCCCAATTTGTGACCCTATGAAAATAAAGTTAGTTCGTTCTCTAGTATGAACTTCACTGTCTTTTGTAATTCAGTCAGCGACACGTAAAGTTTGGCTTGCACCGGTGTTCCTCTAAGCCAAAAGTGTTGCCTTGATATGTTGTATTTGGGACAGTCTTGGAGGACGTGATCTGTTCTCTCTGGTGTCAGTCTACATGCGCAAATGGCTGATTCGCCGATTTTAAATTTGTGTGTACATGTGGCTGCGATGTCGATTGTGTCCTGTTCTAAGGCATAGAATAATAACTTGCTCTGGTCTGTCCATAATATGGTTATCGTCTTGTGCCGGTTTTGGTGGCTCTATGACTGATTTGACTATTCTCTTCTTTTGCTGATGAGAGACTGGTACGTCAGGCTGTTCTTCGATTGCACTTTCCTTAGCTAGTTTATCAGCTCTTTAATTTCCAAGAACTCCACACCGGTTGCCTAGCTTGGAATAATGTTCGTATAACAAGTAATTTTCCAGACTGGAGTGCCTGAAGACGGCTCTTGCATCTTCTGAGTCGAGTTAAGTTGATTCAAAAACCGACATCACAGCACTCGGGGCATTCCCATTTGCGCTCCGTCCCCATCTTCAGTAGCCAGTGCGGAGTGCCAATACTAATGGTGGCAGTAGCACTCTGATTAAACGTCCGTCTTGCCTTTCCTCTGAGTCTTGATCATCGGCCAAAACCCCTCGTCATTCCCGATGCACCAGTCTCACCAGACTATGGTAATCCATCTGCTCTTCCGAACTGAACAAGCTCTCCCACAAGGTACTAACCACGTCTGCCTTATCGTGCATCAGTATTCCACCAAGTTGTGCAGGACCAGCCAGTCTGTCCGCTTGTTCATTTTCCAACACAAGAGCGTGTTCTGGAGAAAAAATCCAGACAATTCTCCTCACCGGTGTCCTCCGCAATGAAGCATGATACTCTATACGAAGCATGGCTTTCCTGAACTGTCTCAACATGCTTTTGAATCAGTTATAATCACGATGTGTGTGTCGTGTTCTCTAACCAGCGGAAAGCTGCAGTGACCGCCTCCACCTCCATTCTTAAGCTGGATGGTGTGGTATCATATAACTAGGCTCTCCTGTACCAAACGTCGACCATTAATTTTTGTTAAGAAACTACAAGCACTTCTTTTTCCTCTTGACACTGAACTGTCTGTAAAAATAATCAAATCCTCTGAGCGAGCATCTTCCATCTGTTAGGAATACCCCGGGTTGGGAAATAAGACGTATATTTAACAGTTTCTCTGCTGCTGTTTCGATGGCTTGAGCTTCTGCATCATAGTTGTGACAGCACTTTCCTGTAGATATTGTGTCTGTACATCTAATATTATTTGGATGCTCAGTATACACTCCTGCTCCTCCATTTCTGCTTGCTTTTTGTGCTGACCCATCCGTATAGACACGAACCCAAAGATTCTGTGAGTATTCACCATCAAGTAGAGCGAGGGTGGTTGTTTTACGTTGCACATTGTTTTGTTCTTCCTAGTCAAATACTCCTTTCAGTGTCTGTGTGTGTATTGGCAACTTATAATCCTCTTTCCAAGAAGTACGACTAATTGAGGGTTTGCTAAAATCAGATGTGTTGTTTCCCAGACATCGCAACCCAGCTGTGTAGCGCCTCAACCTCAGGGCTTAGGCACTGTGAGGGCTCACGTCTCCCCTAAAATCTGGTAATCCTAGTTTCAGCTTCATAGCAAACGGGTCACCCCATAGTTGCTCCGCTCCTGTGCCAACGAAAAACACACGTAGCTCACAGTGTCACGCCATGCACTCAACTCAGAATCTGGGCGACGAAACTATATCCTTCCGGTCTACAAATGAAGCAAAAATGCAACGGCCACCGTCTTCACGTCTCCCCTAAAAGCACCGCCCTTCAGAATGTCTTTCTTATTGACCATTATGAGTGTTCATGTCGCTGTCGTTTTTTAAGTAAGAAAATCTCCTCTTTCATAGCCTCACACACCCGCATATATCGGATCCATGGGGTCTGTATAGTGTTGACCTGATGGTACTTGGTATCCACTCATGCTACGTGTTTCTACTTTAAATCTTTTTCAGTTAAAAATGTTAGTTGCGTAGCCTTTACATGACGTTGCAGAACCAACCCCAGCACGTCGGGGTGTCATGCGGAAGACCCGGGTTCGACTCCCAAAAAGTTAATGTAGTTTTTATTCTGTGTCGAATACACAGTTAAACATCCTAACATGAACAGTCCGTGGCTACAGCACTAGACATGCAGCTTTTCTGGTTCACGACCCCCTGTCTACACCGACCTAGATAGGTGTTTCAACAGACAGAAGTGACAGTATTTTTTTTTTTTTTTTAGTTGTTGTGGTGCTGGTAGTGGTGGTAGTAGTAGTTCTGGTAATCAATAAGTGCTGTTGTACATATTACAATGACCGCATTTACTCCTTACAATTCCTGCTACCCATTTTAGTCTGGTTGGATACGTATGTCAAGGTCAATTTAAATATGTGTATGATGACCTTCAAATCCTTTGAAGAGGATTGGGACACGGTACGGTTCCGGCACGGTAACTATAGCTTTCGATTTTTCTGTTGTCTAGTGTGTTCTTCTATTTCTCTACTTTTTTTCTGAGTGTCGGCGCCAGTACATTGTCTGTTACTTTATTAATATATAATATTTAACGGGTTCCCCCATCTGTTTATTTATGTGTATAACGAGTATTTTTAACAAATAAAAAAATTGCATCGACCGGGAATCGAACCCGGGTCACCCGCGTGGCAGGCGAGTATTCTACCACTAGACCACCGATGCTCACATGTAATGTTAGTAATGAAATTTCTTGTTAAATAAATTTATTAAGGACCATAATTAATTTATTCATATAATTAACGAGGACTCGCAATGAAATCACTTGTAATAATGGGGGAACTCCCCGTATGCTCATGTTCAAGAGTGTGGGCAGTGTTAAGTTGTTTGACAAACTCAGGCGCTTTGTCCATCTAGGCCAACGGTTCTCAACCTACCGGTAGCGACCCTTTTTTTGTGTGTGTGGGTCGAACGACCCTTTCACAGGGGTCGCCTAAGAATAAGAGAAGACCATCGGAAAACACATATTCATTAAAGTTATGAATTAGCAACGATATTAATAGTATGGTTTTAGGTAGCCACACTAATACTACTACTACTGTTGCTGCTGCTACTATAACTACTGCTGCTGCTACTACTACTGCTGCAACAACAACTACTACTACTGCTACAACAACTACT